AAGTCGATCTGGCAGGTCAAATGGCAAATGTCAAATGTCGATCGCGTAGCCAACAGATCTATTTTATGAGCCCACCACTGGAAATCTAACCATCCCTGACCCCAGCTATCTTCTTTTGGGGTCATATCGACCCTGCAAAGACCCTTCTTACCACTTCTATCGTATAGATCCACGTTCATACATCTCCAGCATTCTATGTGCCCAACTATGATCATGCTAAGACTGTTGTGCACTTTAAATAACACAGTAAACAAAAATAGGCTTGCAATTTCTTCACACTGAGAAATGAACCATTTTGCACGATGCTTTTCGGAAGTGGATTACTAAGTAACTGATTGGAAATGTTGCAATGAAGTACAGTTCACACTGTGAGAAAGTATATTTCCTGCATTTGCATGGTATGTTTCAATGTTTTAATATTGGTTATATAACTTGGCGGTTAACGGCCTTCAAATTGCCCATTACTGTGTGACGGAACAAGAAAAACTGAACAAATTGCAAAGACTGTGAGTAAACGGTGCACTGCACTAACTTGGCTGCTGAGTTAGGTTCCTTCTTTTGGTGTCGATTGTAAGTTCTAGTACTGGCAGTAAACTCAGATGTACCACTGTTGCATGGCATAACATTTAAAAACGGCGATTCAACCTGTAAATCTGTGAGGGTATGCAGTTATTTGGAAGAGGAAGAACTGTATACCGTTTAAATGCAAAGTAAGATGTTCCAAAACATTTGAAATGATCCATTTTGTCAATAATGCAGACATTTACAGATATAGAGATAACAAGGTGTAGAGCTGGATGAACACAGCAGGTCTCGACCCAAAACGTCAGCTTTCCTGTTCCTCTGATGCTGCTTGGCCTGCTGTGTTCATCCAGCTCTACACCTTGTCGTCTCAGATTCTCCAGCATCGGCAGTTCCTACTATCTCATTTACAGATATATCCGTGTTTTATCTATCTCTGTAAATAAATGTGATTTGGAGTAATCATTAGTTCGTGGTAAGTCATTCCTCACAGCATGTAACCCAAATAATGTTGTTTTCAAAAAAAAGGAAGTTGTTGGTGACATGCCTTATTTATGAGATATGAAGGAGATTTTTAACATCCAGCAAAGTAGGGCAGGAATATTTGTTGGCGCACTCCGCCGGTTATAATCATCTACTCCAACTTCAGCTTTAGTCAACTCATTCTCCATGTCAGAGGCCACTGTCCTCTGTTGTGATAGAAAAAGTCAAAGGTTATTCCAATGTACTATCACGTGATGGGCTCAGCGTCTTCTTGTTTTCGCTCTTTTGTGCTAATGTGGACACTGTACATTTCCACTGTCAGTTTACAACACAACTGGGATATTGGAACTTACTTATAGTGCCAGGAATTAATGTTATCAATCATTGTACAATTCTATTTTTGGTTTGCCTCGTTCGGTCCTGCCTTTCGTTTATTATGTTTTACTATTTTAAAATATTCTTCAAATTCGATATCAATGGAAACATTTGCAACGTGCAATAAACATTTTTTTTCCCCTTGAGTTATATTTGACGTGTTATAATGTAGATGTATGGCACCATACAACAGAACAGCACCCTCACCTCAGACCCTGCCACACCGTATAGACACACAGCCCTGATGCTGGAGCTGCCACTGTGTCTGCATCTTTGTTAAAATATCCCATCCCGTTGATGAAATGGAAATCAATTCTCACTGATATCCTGGGTTGATAACAATTTCTACGCGGAAGGGGATTGGTATATTATGATGTGAACTGTATAATGTGTACGCGGTAATTTCCATCGGAACACTTCCCACCTTTAACATTTTGATAAACTAGACAGCTAGCGGTCTGAATTAAAGTAATTTCCAACGCTACATTTCTATGGCCATTTTACTTTATGTTTCCAACCTCTGCTCTGCGTTCGCTAGAAATCAGCCAGTATTTAACGTTGAATGAAGAATTTTAATCCGCGAGGTAAGTTGTTGCATGCTTAACCGCTCTGTTTCCAAAACACAAAACCGCTGCAAAGCTAAAATGTACCGGGTTCTCACAGAAGATGCGCCGTTGATTTTATTCCCGTCAGAAGAGTCCGGTCAACATTAATGATTATTTGGGAATCCAAATCCTTTAATATCCAACAGTAAGAGAACTGTACATCAATTGCCCAGCTTCCCCTGAAATACTTATACATGCAGAGAATACCTAGCGTATGGTTGGACCATATAATTATAAACAATAACAAGATTACGCGTAGTAGAATGGTAGCTATTTCGAGTAAAATGAGAAATCTTCTTATAGAGCAAAGTTCAAGCATCACGGTTGTGAAAAACTGTACAAGGTACAGTACAATACTTGCGTTGTCATTTTATTTTAGGTTGTCATTTTGTTTCATTCGACCACCATATCTGTGTTTTAGTTCGACCTAGAGAACAACTTTCCCCCCAAAGTGATAAAATCTGCCCTTACGCGAAATTACATAACAAGATGCATATTCGGTGCCAGCGTTGATTGTACCCAGGATATTGTGAATCCTTGAGATCATTAAACCTCCTAGCTTCTGCTTTCGTTATATTTGAAAACTACATCATTGTGCTCACGTTTAAATCAACTAAGAGATATCGTCATTTCGTTAAAAAAAGTCTGCCAGTTCTGGCTATGAAAATTTTCTGTCATCTATCTCATTGGATAATGCACGGTCATCCGGAATAACAATATTGGAAAATGACGGCAAATATTCGGGTCACTAAAGTGAGCAAGTATTAAAAACAGCACAAGCTTCAGCGAGCGTGGCGCATGAGGACCACGTCTGCAATCTAGCTGTATTCTGGCCGTCTGTATTTTAAAGAAACAGAGAATATAGGAGGGGACGAATAAGGAAATAAATGCAATTACTGCGTGGTTTGCAATGATCGCAAATGGACTCACTTATATGTAGCTGTACCGTGCCTGTGACATCTTCTAGGCCAATTCTTGCTAACACGTCTTCTGACTGAATGGGTTAACATGAAAACATACACTAAGGTCATGCATTACAAGGAACAATTCGGTGCACACCGGTTTAAAATTTGAATGGAAACTAATACATGTACACCTAACAATTACTCTAACTTGCATTCGCCCAGTGCTTGTCAATGAGCTGTTGATTTCTCACAGGAAATGTAACAAATTTATTCCCGTCTACCGATTTCATTTTGCCTGCAGATGTAAGTACTATTTGAGAGACAATTGGTGCATTTAAACTACTGGCGTTGAGCTCTGAAAAGCACGTTTATTGAAATAATTGCGACCTGTAACCGTGTAGGATTAATCTGGGTTAATTCTGGGCACACGTTTCCTAACGTTGCCCCGGTTTGTATAAACTGGTGTACACTGTATCTTATCAAATTAATACTAAATGATAGCTGGACTATTCTTGTAAAATGTATTCTGGGCACCACCCACCTTGCCTGCTCCGTGTGTACACACTCCATTCAAGTAAATGCCAGAAACTGGCAGATTTTATTAAAATCGAGTTTGTGTAAATTGTAAAACAACTAATGTTCGACTTTATATCCACGTGTTATTTATTCCTGAATGGGTGGCTAATTTATCTCCAAATTAGCAACAAATACTGCTTTAATGAAGGTGGCAATTCCAAGCTGGGGGTACATGAAACATGAATGAACTCCAGAGCGGATCTGTCTGGTCATTGCCTTTTAAATGTGTTATGGAATAATCTCTTTGCTCTCAAATGCGGTGCTGCACATTAGTAATTTCTAATATGCAAACTTTGGAGCAATAAACTGCATTTTAATTTTAATGTTCACGGCGAATATCAAACCGCTTTACATATAAAGATGTATAAATATGACGTGCTGTAAGGTTTTATCAATGAAACTGATATCGTACCAGATTTACAAACATTCTCAGCAAAGAAATTGGATTATCACTGACCTAATAGACTACACGCAGTGTAAGCTGGATAAATACCAGGCTGGAAATAAATTGGTAATGATGAATTCAGTCAAAACAAAAGCAATGCAATTGCCAGGTCCTAGGAAGAAGGTTTTTTTCAAAAGGTCTTCCTTCTGAATTTTGCACGTTGGGACCTGCAATTTGCTTACTTTTCAAACTGGTGCCCCCAGAGAAGAAATAACGGGCCAAATAATCCCCTTCACTACAAACCGGAGAGAGCAGACACAGGGGCTGAAACGCTAGTCACCGACACCGTCAATTAAATGTTCTCCAGCATGCGTGAGTGTGTGTGTGTGTGTGTGAGTGTGTGTGAGAGAGAGAGAGTGTTTAACTTGACATCAAAACAGCAAATGGCATGCGTGACTTTTGAAAGGTGGTGGAAAAGATCAAATCAGAGAAAAAGAACGTTGAACGGAAAATTGTGTCGAAAAAGAGCGAGAACAGAAAAACAAAGAGGCCGCAAATTTATTTTAGATCGTGCATCAAAGCTAGGTCGTGTGATTGCCTTGCTCTTAACAAATTCCAAACAACATTTCTAGGAGTGAGCAGTGCGTTGCTTCTATATTAGCAGCGCACACTGCCTTTTAAACTATAAATATGGGTCGAGGTGGACAATCCTAGACAATGGTGGCAACAGCGATTGTTTCCGAATTAAGATGTAAAAGCTTTGTGTGCTACTAATCCATCAGCTGTACAGTAAATATCCACATCCCCTCCCCGCACACTAACGTGTGCAAATGTGAAGAGTTCCGAATACAAATGAAGCTTGCACATTACAATAGGGCACTGCAGTTTTGAGCAAATCCATCAAAAGCTGTACAGTGGTTGAATTAATTCAGTGGTTTAAAAAAAACAATTCTTTTACTGAAATGTAAAACCTCATTCAGAATTGGAAAGCCTTGAAGCAAATTCGAGTCAAAAGACATCTAAAAGATGGGTGTCGAGTGGAAAATTTCCAGTTAAGAATCAGATAGGAGAGAGGCAGTGAAGAGTTAAAGGAAAACAAAAAAAGCCTTCAACAAATTACATACCCCATATATATTTTTCGCCAGTTAAACAGTATAAACAGTGACTAAGCGACCACTAAAAGTTCCTCAGATACAGTTAAGCACTGCTTTACTTGATTATAGGTCCGCGTCCACGACATGGACATATTTGCGGGTGTCAGGGAAACAAAGATAAGGCGTGCTGCTCCCGGGGTACAGGACAGGGAAAGACACTGGTAATAAACATCTCCGCAGAAAACTGCTCTCTTTGTACATTGCTGGCATCTGGACTATCTTGGGGGCAGTTTCGGTGATGTTTGTGACCTCCAGTTCGGCGGACAGTTGCCTTTTCAGTTTATTCCTGCGGTTCTGGAACCAGATCTTCACCTGGGTCTCGGTGAGTTGCAGAGAGTTCGCTAGGCAAGCGCGCTCGGCGCTGCTCAGATATCGCTTCATGTCAAACGTCGACTCGAGCTGGAAGATCTGGCTCTTGGAAAATATCGTGCGCGTCTTCTTTTTCGCGAGCACTTTGGCTTTCTTGTTGTGTTTGACTCGGCCCGAATCGTCGCTGTGATCCGCCGTTTCGAACGATTCGTAAGATTCCGGGCTTTTTACCGAATGGTTTGCGTCCGTGGTGAATTCGAGCGAGGAGGAGGAGGTGAGATAGCTGCCGTTCATTGTCTCTGCATCACAAAACCCAGCAAAGTCAGTTTTCTCTCGCTAGTACTGTGTGGGCATTTGCAAAACTATGTGTGGCACATTATAGCATAACTGCTGGATAAATAGACCGTAAAAAGATGGGATTGTGAACCCCGGCCCTCTCGAGCTATAACATGCAAAGGCTAAAATCCTACATCTTGCTCACTACTAACCTGCCACCCAAAAATAACAATGTCCTGTCAATGCATGCATTTAGACTTTCCAACTGAATTTATTAAGTCCTCTTAAAACGTGCATTGTTTAATAACCGACGCCTGGCAAACAAGGGCTCAAATAAACAGGTCACAATACTCCCGCGGAACCGGTACAGCATCTGCCTAACGCTGACAATACCTTGACTTGTTTTCCTGTGGTCCTTGCCCTGTCTCATGTCCGTCCTGACCACTTCATGCCGTGATTTGAATTCTGACGCCGACGTGACTTGCTGCTTTGCACGGTCGTGCCTGAGCTCTTTGCATTTGGGGCCGGCTTTCAGAATACTGTCGATGGTAAATGTCAGAGACAGAGGCTGACACTGGAAGCTCTCTTCCTTGTCCATCATCCTGTGACCCCCACTTCAGGCACTCTGACGGTGAACCGTCTCAGTGAATTGTCCGGAAGCTTTCTACAATGATCCCCGGTCCCGCCAGCACCATTCCTGCCCCTCTCAGAGCCGAGCTCGCTCGTTTCCCCCCAAAGTTATTCACTCCACGGAAAGATGGCCGTTCCTGGAAGCTTTGCATTGGTCCAAATGCGAGCAGCCAGCCTGATCCAATGGGAGGGCGGAGGCGGGCTGTGCTGCTCCTCTGCTCCTCTCCACAGTGCGGTGACTTTGCACTTCAGGCCGCTCCAGAGTACAATTCTCAAAGCACGGCTGTATTCATAGAGCCTTCCTCTTTCTCGCATTCATTTGTGGCTTAAAACCTGCCAATTACGAAGTCTGTCAGTGACATGGCCATCACTGGAGAATGCAGAAAATCGCAGTGGTACCGTGATCGGCCTTATTGGCTGCATTGCCCAGGTGTAGGGCAGTCTTTTTCACATTCCCACTCTTGCAGCTTCAGCCTGTTTGGGCTCATTTCAAAACAGAATCTGTACCTATTCTCACAACTTTGGCCTTTGGCTTTCAGTAGCAATCCACTACCAATTCTCCTCTTGTAAATTTATTTTTTAATCAAAGAACTGTCCTCTGATTTTTAAAAAAAAAATCAATTAATAATATTCATAATATTTGGAAGTTGCCATTTTACTCACTCCTCTCTCTCCACCCCATTGCCTGAATAGGCTTTTGGGGGAGGGGGGTTGAGAGATGTCAAATGGTGTCAGTATTATTGATGTAAGCTCCAGCAAGGGCGGGAGCGTTCCCTCCTGTTGGCACTTGCCTTTCTCTTTGTTTTCGCGACTGGCTGCTGTGAGGATTCAGACAGGGAAGAACAGCGTTACAGTGGGTATGCGCGCTCGGAATGTCATTTCATCCGACACACACTGCCCGTTCTCAATTGATTCATCTCAGAAACCATTGTCTGCGAGCAACAGAACTTGGGTCAAAACGGCAGCGTTAGATTTTAGGACTGGAACCACGTGTATTAAATGCACGTATACATTGACATATCTTTAATATATATACTATATATATAGATAGATAGATAGATAGATAGTTAGATAGATAGATAGATAGATAGATAGATAGATAGATAGATAGATAATGCATACTGTATGTACGTAGTTGCGTGGGAAGTTTAAATTATTTGACCTATTGCATACGTTGGGTTCGGATTTGCTTCAGCAAGCTGTAATACAGTCAAAGATTGGCTAAGATCTGGACAGTAGACTTCAGCAGTAATACTCCAGTCATATCAGTCCATTCATGCTTGTCCTGCTTCATCCATCCTTCTTGAATTCAAGTATAGCGTCTGGCAAAGTCATGGGTATTGTGGTGTACGGGCTGAGGGCCTTCATACTTTATCTCCCTCACACTCAGTTTATTTACGTGACCGATGCCGTCTTCCATGGCCCATCCGATATTCCAGCTCAGGTGAATAGGTGAACTTCGACTACAATGTTAAGGCTATATTATATGCATACCACTTATTTCCGATACATTTACTAAAATATTCCTTTCTGCTTCCCAGCTGTGCACGAATGCTGTAACATGGTGCCAGGGTTCGCACTGAAAGCCACTGATGACCAATCAGTATGCATTGAATGCTGAGTTTATCTATAGCAAGACGTACCCCCCTTCTAGGTAGAGAACATTTTGTTGATAAGTAAAATGATGTTTTATATATATGAGATTTCGCAGTTAATGCTGGAATTCAATTTAGAATGCCTAAAGATCTCTAGTTCGAAAAATCTTTAAACATACAATTGACAGAACTAGAGTGAAATGAAGAGAACATGAGTAACTTTCCATAATCCACAAGGGCAGGAGACGTAATGTGCATGAAGCGTCCTGTTGCTTACTTCGAAACTTAAAGAAAAAATTGCAAATGCACATCAGAATTGCATTTCGTCCATTCAATATGCCAGCTGTACTGACTATCCTGGAAAGCAACGTTGTAAGTTATTCACTGTAAACCACGTTTCCAAATGTACGTTTTTAAACTTTTTTTTTCTCTATGTAGGTGTCCATGTCAATGTAACCGTGAGCTGCAGTGTACATTGTCCACATTGTCGTTAAACCGGGGAGGCCAAACTACACACGCATCAGAATATTGCACCAGCGTTTAGTTCATGTTGCCTTTTCAGTCATTCACATAAACTCAAAGTACTCGCTTTTATTTTGACTTTTAAATCTTTCTCCTCATGAAGTTGAGTGATAAAAGAATTTCTACTTCGAGGGTCAAATATAAATAACAGCACGCAGAATAAGACTCCCTTCTAGTTTAACTATGTATTTTAACTCTTAACATTGAAAGGGCGTGCTTAATGGTTCAGCGTGTTGTATTCTGTCAATTCAGCATCTGAGAGTGAGATAATAGCAAATAGAATCAAAGCTTTCAAAAGAGAACTGGATAGCCTCCTGAGGAGAAACAAGATAAACCTTGTAGGTCTCCGAGAAACGGCAAGGGAGTGGGACTGGCTGATTTACTCTAACAGAGAGCAAGCAACTGCACAATGGGTCGAACAATCTCCTTCTGTTGTGGTTACTCTGCTTCCCTAAACTAGCCATGCCATGCTCTAATTGAGTGAGATTGTCAACTAGGCCCAAGATTAAAGCTGTGCAAATTGGATTATAATGGACAACCTGAACCAACCAAAACATCAGTCTGGGCTGGAGTTGAACTCAAGCAGCTGGGGCTAATTGATTTTTATCCATATAGTTTGCCAGGACAGACGAAATTTTAGAACATTCACACTTTTAAACAAGATAGGTAGGAGGTTAGGGCTACTTCTAATGGCAATTTAATGTTCTGGAGACGAAACTTGCTAATTGTATCAACGGTAGCTCCGTTAGCAGCACTCTTCCCTCTGACTCACCGGGTTCTGAGTTCACGTCTCAGTCCCGCACTTGGATCCTGACGCTGCAGTGGTGATATCAGATGCATTGGCCTTTTCGATGAGGCATTGAACTGGGGTTCTCTAGTGTAAGCGTGAAATGTCTCCCATGTTGCTTCGAAGAAGACCAGGGGAGGCATTTCCAACAGTTATCCCTCAATCAAAAACAGATTTGTTTGTTTGTTGTTGCGTTTTTCGTGCTACAGCAATGACCACACTATTTTTTTGAAAAAGGATTGTTGGCTCTAAATCATTTTGAAACGTCCGGTGGTGGTGAAAAGTAGCAAATCTTTCCTTTCTTAAACTTCTTCAATGTTAACGTTTGTTAAATTTACACCTACTTTTCTGTTGAAAGATCTTCCCCGGAGTAACAATAGCAACAAAGTTTGCGACGTCCTATAAGGCTTATTTGTCATTGATCAAGTCGGATTTGTTTGGGATACCAAAGGTGTTCTGAAGAAGCCACCGGACTCGAAACTTTAACTCTGCTTTCTTCCCACAGATGCTGCCAGCCCTGTTGAGTTCTGCCAGCATTTGCTGGTCTTCTTTCAGACCTCCAGCACCTGCAGTTCTTTGTTTTATATCAAAGGCCCAAAGACCATGTTGCTCCATTCCACTGATCAATGGCGACCCGGAGTGCGTTACTGCTCAGAGCAGTGTGTTTCACTCTGCTTTGAATGGCTTACATGCAAAACCCCTAAACTGTAATCCAAAGTAACAGTGCAACTCATTCGCTTGAAAATGAATCTTTCCATATCTTCAAGAGTCTTACTTTTGGACATGTCTTTCTTGTTCAGACAATTTGTTCACCAACAAGTCTTGCTCAAGCATTTGGTTTCACATTTTATTCTAAAAGTTAGTTAACGCAACAAAAACCGCACCCACCCTGACTATTTGAATCTCTTCTAAAGGGAATTCTCCTCTCTCTTTAGAATTAAGGCTAGGAAACAAATAGAATCTCAGATTCTACTGGATGGTGGAAGTTTAAAACTCTCTTCAGCAAACAGCAACTGGTACTAGAGATCAATTGTTTGTTAGAGGTCTGAGATACATTCATGCTTGTTAATCAAAAGTATTCAGCAATATGAAGCAGTTGTAGACTTGGGTAACCGATCAGTCACCAACTAGTAAAATGATGGAGCAGGTTAGAAGAACTAAATGGATTTGCTCTTGTTCTTATGTTTTCGTGGCTTCCATCCTCCCCTTCTCTGTAATCTTCCACCACCCTAAAATGTTTCAACGACATTGATAAGAGATTTTTAAAAACGTAGCTTCCAAATCTCGCCTCCCTTTTGGCTTTGCGGTAACTTCTACAGTCCAGAATTCCCTTCCTAACGCCTTCCACACGCCTTCTCATTCACTTTTGTAATCCTCCCCTAAAACTGCCGTATTTATCAAGCTTTTGCTCATCATTGTTAATCTTTCACAAGAGCGCAGGAAATAGGACCATCATCAGACAGAACAGTTGACGCATCTGTTCCGCCATTCAATAACAACAGGGCCAATATAGGACTGCAACACGTCCTTGGCCATGTCTACGTCCCCTGATTCTAGAATGAAGAAAAGTTGTCTTTCTTAACCTATAATATGTAATGGGTTAGAAAATTCTAAAGACTCAAAACTACTGTTCTCCTCAGCTCAGTCCTAAATGATTGTCCCGCTTCTCCCGAGATTGTGCCCTCCGTCACCCATGATTATCGGCCAGGGAAGCACTTGTGTATGCTGTCACCCCTTCATTCTTTAGTTCTTATATTTTCTGCCATAAATACCTCATATGAATTGCCATGGACGTTTTATTATATTCAACACGCTATAAAATGCTTCTTTTAATTGTTAGCATATAGTAGGAAAAGTTGTTTTCAGCCGATGGTGAGCCACATTTCATATTGAAGGTTTCTGTTTATGCCTTTGCCATTGGGGCACTGACTAACTGCCTCACGTTGTGTTGATGGAATCTCTCTCTCCGATTAGTCTTGAAATTGTGAGACTCTGAATAATTTGTTCCACTCCTTCCTCACAAATTACAAAGCTCATCCCCATTGACACCCAGCTAAATCACGTGATCGTCTGGAACACTTCACAACCACTAGCATTTTGTAAGATCAGGGGTAAGCTTTGATTTAACCAGTCAACTAGTCCTGGTTGCAATTTGCCGCCAGCCTGCTTGGAGAGTGCTTACTTTACAGCGAAATGAGTTGAAA